CTATTCTTTTTCCGGTTAAAAAAAAACCCAAAAAAAACTCATTTTCTTGTTAAAAAAAAAACTCGTAGAGTTACTAATTTTTTTTCTCCCAAAAAAGAAAATTGTTGAATTTATTACTCATTTTCTTGTTTAAAAAAAACAAAACTTGTAGAGTTACTCTTTTTCTAGTACAAACAAACTGGTTGAGTTAGATCTACTCATTTTCCTGTAAAAAAACAAAACAAAACAAAACTTGTAGGCTTACTCATTTTCTTGTTTTAAAAAAATGTAGAGTTACTCATTTCCTAGTCAAAAAAAACAATAATTTGTAGAGTAACTCATTTTCTTTTAAAAAAACAAAAACAACTCGTAGTTACTCATTTTTTTACTTTTTTTTTTTACTTGTAGAGTTACATGTTTCCTGGTTAAAAAAAAAAAAAAAGAAAGAAAATTTGTAGAGTTAGGCCTACTCATTTTATTGTTTAAAAAAACAAAACTAGTAGAGTTACTCATTTTCTTGTAAAAAAAAAAAAAAAAAAAAAATAAAAAAAAAAAAAAAAAAAGGACATCCTTGTAAAAAAAAAAAAAAAAAAAAACTAACAAAAATCCCACAAAACTTGTAGTTACTCGTTTTCTTGTAAAAAAAACCAACTGGTAGAGTTACTTATTATCTTGTTAAAAAAAACAAAAAGACAAGAAAAAAAAACAAAAAGACAAGAAGAAAAAACTGGTCGAGTTACTATTTCTTGTTAAAAAAAAAAAGTTATTGTAGAGTTACTCATTTTCCTGTTAAAAAAAAAACTTGCAGAGTTACTCATTTTCTTGTAAAAGAGCAAATTGTAGAGTTTTCCAAAGTAGTATCACTAAATTCTTTTTTTTTAAACAGCTCAATGAAGATTTATCACAGTGGCATTTCAATCAAATAAAGCAGACGTACAGGTCACAACTTTTAAAAAAGAGCTGTGAAAATAAATTTGATACATTGTGTTCAGATTGAGACATCGGACCTATAATTCCAGATTTAACTAAAATCCTTCTCTGTAGGATCGGTGAAACAAAAAATTCCCTGTCTTTAAAAACTAGTGTTAGTCTATCTCATTTTGTCACTGAGGATCACGGGGAAATGGCTAAAAAAGATAAAAGAAACATCAAACATTTCATGGACTGCATTAAAAAAATTGTTTTTATAACATAAATTTGAGTTTAAATTATTTCAAAAATTAGTTTGATTAGATTCTCATGTGTTTGTAATTTATATTTTACCCCCTGATCAACACAATTTAGACAAGTCAGGAGTTGGGCTGGTTCGACAGCAGCCTGCAATGATCAACCTGGGCAGAAAGAGATACAGTGGAAAGAGATACAGTATTCCCAGAATATAGATGACGATACTTGGTAAAATAGCTTCCCACTACGAGAACGGAACTCACATCTGCTGTGAACAACAGCCGAGAGCATAACCACTACACAATAGTTGCCCATCTAAAAAGAGTACGATATATTATGACATAACATATTCTTTTACTACAAAACCTGGCGTTTACAGTGCTCAAAGTTACGTGAAAACCTACAGTGAAGTGCGAATATGGCTGAACAAACATTTTGAAATGACGAAGTTCGTGCAGTATGTAGGAATAATATAGTAAGTCTACAAGAAAGTCAAACCATCAGAGCTTCACAGAGCAAGAGTTGTAAGCTACACGCTGGATACAGCACACCAGAAAGACAGATGCAAATATAGATAGAATAATATATATAATATGCTACCACCCTGATCACCTCACTAGATATAAATTAAAAAACTGCACTGCCATCGCTCCAATTGTAATTATTTAAGTTCCAATAGAAATACAGTATAACACGGATAAGTCGAACACAGAAGACTTGAAATCACGCATCCGTCGAACTGTGCCTGCTGCAGTCACGTTTTTTTTCCCTCAAACTACGGATCCCTCGAACTACCGAAGCCGGTACCGAAGAATTCGAGCTAACCGTGTTCTACTGTATGTGTGTGTGTATAGCTCGGGAAAAGGATTTTTTCTTCTGCTTATAAAAAAATGTCATTCCAGTTCTCGTGCTGCGTCTCAAACTGAAGCTAAAGCTTCCCAGGTCTCCCATTTCAACGATTAAGAAAACAGATTCAACAAATGTGAGGCGTGCAGACAAAATGAGTTACTTCTCGCAATCCAAGAATGGAGAAATCGGCCACAAAAAACGACACTGGGTTCAGAGTAATAGATTTTCAATTGATGTCAATATCTTCAAGTCTGCCGTGTCTTTTATTATTCCATACAAGACTTACAAATTGTACAAACTCCACCTATGAAGTTGATGTATCAATTTCCACAAGGCTAGTATCCAAGAAGTAACTCATTTTATCGGTACATTTCACAAATCTTAACAATGCCCATACCCCCTTTCCATCATAACAAAAGCTACGAGCACTCTACCCCAATGCCAGGTCACAAATACCAGGAAAAAAAAAAGAAAACAAAGCACATGAATGCCACAATTCCCCAAAAACGTGAAAAACAAAATCAGATCTGCTGATAATCTTCCCACAAATGTGGGTACATTTGCATGAACATTTGAAAAAAAAAAAGGTAAAAAATCAATGTATAAGCACATTTATATTGCAGAGGGCCCTTGGGTAGATCAAATCATCTGAATCTTTTTTTTTTCCAAAAACGCAGGGAGTAAGTTTGAAATTTTACTTAAAAATTCAGATGAGATGATCGCCGTAAAGTCACAACTGGGATATTGAAATGGCTGTTCCATTAATCGAACGATTGTATGACGAGTATACAAAAAAAAGACCCAGGTACATATCAAACACGGCACAACAACAGGGACTGCCAAAACGACATATGCGATGAAACATTATACAATCAGCCATCAGTCTACTGGGAATGCGAGGTCAGAGAACGATAAATAACAATGTAAGGTAAGGTAAATATGTGAGGCAGTGTGGTGGAATCAGGCTCTCGTCAATTTTTGGGCAAGTAGAGTTATTGGTATCATCTTAAAGCTTGTTTGCTTGTCTTTATTTGGATGAGAAAAATATCCGTTTATCTTAAATACCAGTCGAGATATTTGCGAATGAAGGAGGTGGGGGGTCACCTGTTTTCAGAGGTAAAATTAATGAGAAAATGGCCGCCAAAGATTAGTTATTTCCCTAGCTTAAGAGTCCATGGTAACTAAAAAATTATTTTTTTTGTACCTTTAATCAACGTTTTTCAGAAAAATCCACACAGAAATGAGTTCTTTAGTAGGCATGAAAGGTGTTAAGCCAAAAAACAAAAATTTGATAAAAATTCACAAACCTGCTGAACAACGCAAGTTTCTTCACTTTGATTATTTTGACGAGAGCCTGATTCCACCACGCTGCCTCACATATAATAATCACAGTATGACTTCTGGCGGGCGATAAATACAGAGCCATCAGCCAGCAATTTGTCGCTACACCACACCGCCGTTATATACACAATCAAATCTGAATGACTCGAAACAGAGAAACAATAGCGTGCAACAAGTATTTTACTGGGATTAAGCGTATTGTACAGAGAAACTTATTTGTTTTTTTCTTAATATCTAATTACAGTTTTATATTTTCTTATCCCTATGGACCGGAACCCTCGCCTGAACAATCACCGTCTTAACCTTCCGCATACCAAACTCATACCTTACCTGGCCGTGGCGAAAAATTTAACAGTCGCCTCAAGAAAGCCCAGGTGCATGGGCTGTAGGCCGATAAGTAACACAGAGCTGGGGCCCAAAAGGGTTCAGAAAAGGATTTTGATTATGACAAATAGAATTGGTGGTTACAAGTTCTGCAAAGAAAAAAAAGATAATAATTAGGACGTCAGAAAAAAACGTCATGACGTCCAGTTTCATTTAACACAATTATAGCTAAGCACCTTGTATCGTGTACATTTTCTACAAAACCCCCCAAAAAAAACAACCCATTTCTTCAAGAAGATTCACTGACAAAAATACAGTGGTGTACAGCATTAAAACCTTAAACCATCACAGTCGTCGTCTTTACATTGTGTGTGTGTGTACATTGAAAGAGGAACTGACAGCTGCACCAATTGAAGCGGGCAACACATACACACGATCGGGTGTGCTCCCTATATCCAGAAATAATATTTCCTGAACTTACGGGACGATAGATTTCAAAATATATATATATACATCGATAAGCCTGTTGACATCTCATCCTTTGAGCAGGATATGCTGTCACAGAAGCAACGAATAAACTTTTAACGGAGACACCACATACTTGTAGAACTTCTGTAGTGGCTAAAACATTAGCACCTCCAGTATGAGCCTTATATGGTCACTTTTAAGGACAAGCTGGCTGACTCAGATTTCGGGGGTTTCCAAAAATATTGACCTACACCAAAAGTGGGCATTGTCTTACCTATAGGAGAAGTTTGGTTTCATTGGTGTGTATATTTGTTTGTTTATAGAGAAAACCTCCTTCTCTTTTCAAGAAACTGAATAAGGGGCAAAAACTTTACCTCAGATTTTCCCAAAGCAGCATTTTTCGGGATAGCCCCCTTGCGCTTAAAAGCAACCATATGGACTTTGTTAGCTGTTAGATCAAAGACAATACCAGCAAGAGCTTCGTACGGGCTTTGTTAAAGGAAAGTGCTCTACAAGGTGGTTCACTCTTGTACAGAACTGCTCTAAAAAATTATTAGCATTTTTGCAACAGATTTTGTCACTATTTCTCAATTTAACACTTTGCCACCACAAGGCTCATATAGTTAAAACCCTTGCCATTACAAGCATTTCAGGAGAAATTAAAAAAAAAACTGGGTGGTAAACATTGTCGATCTGTATTTTGTGACGGAAGCAGAAGTTCGGCATTCTTGCTGATCACCGAGATGTTATGGCAAAGTGGTTAAGTTCTTTAACGACAAAATGCTCCTCTTCTCTGCATACAAAAAAGTAAATCCTTAAAACCAGTTTCAAACATGCTTTCATAATGTTATATAGATGTCGCCACTGTTATCTTTTTAAGGATGTTTTCTTCAGTATCTCAAACGGAGGAGCGAACCAACATGTAGCAACCAATCACTGGTCACATCCAGCAATAGTGTTCAAACTAAAAGCGTGGATCACATTGACCAAACAGGTTTTGTGTGCACTAAAACTTGGCAGCATTTGTGGCGGTTCCGGTGACCGTTATATCTCCTTTCCTGTACTGTGGGATTGTGGGGAGGACTTTGGCGGTCTTCTTCTCTCGCTGTTGGGGCGTGCTGGTCGTGGAGTGATCTGATTGGTGAGTGACCGGGGCCGTGGAAACACCATTGGAGTACGCTGAAACAAAAGTAAATGATGACTATGTCTGATTACGCTGACAAGCTTATACAAGTCACTAAAGGAAGACACTGTATTTTGTCTATTCTTAGTTTTAGTTTTAGATTTAGTAAGAGTTTGACAGCACTTGCAACAAGAGTAGGTCTTGCAAGTGCCGGGCGCCGAAGATTATAGGAGATACTAGAAAGTAGTAACATACAAAGAAAAAAAGGAGGAAAGACAGATTTAAATTTAGTAAGAGTTTTACAGCACTTGCACCACAAATAGGTCATATATGTGCCAAAGATTTGAGCTGTTACTGAAAAGAAGTAACATACAAACAAAAGAAGGAGAAGAGATAAGGACAACAGACGTTTGACAGGAAAGCAAGAGTAAACCATGCCAGACCGCTCACCAACCACCCACTTATACTTATTCTAGATGAAAAGAGACACTGTTACAAATAAAGTGAAATGAAAAGAGTTTTTCAATTCATTTGTTTGGGGTTTTTTTGTTTGTTTGTTTATTTGAGTAAAGAGAAGCACATCGACACGATGACAGTCATTTTGTGCTGAGAAAGATATACACACACAGACAGAAACAATATATAGGGGGGAAAAAAAGAAGTTGGACCTACCCATATCACTTTCCAACCACCCCTAGACTACTTAAATGGAACTCACAGCCATTGTTACCAATGACGTGAAGTCTGCCTTTAATAACTTAGCTTATTCCAGTCAGTAAGGACAATACATTTCAGACAAGACAAACAAAATTATGAAGTAAAAAAAAAAAGGCTGCTGAATTGAAAATGAGCTTATGGTCTGAACAACAAGCCTCTTCAATAAAACAAAACTCTGTATTGAAAGTCAAATATTTTTAAAATGCAGGCTATATTTTTTATTTTTTTTTAATGTACAGGAAAGCAACTATAAAAAGGGATAACTGATATTTTAGAAAGAGCAGAAACTTTTAAACTCCCAAACTCCTTAAAACCCTCAATATTGTGTTGCTATGTTCAAGTCACAATTAATGTGTCGTTGCTATGTTCAAGTCACAATTAATGTGTCGTTGCTATGTTCAAGTCACAATTAATGTGTCGTTGCTATGTTTAAGTCACAAAATGTGTCATCAAAAGCAAGAGAAGTTTACCCTGCTGTAATGCCCACTAGTCTAAGACAGCAACCTGTACAAGCAACCATTTCACACTCCCCCCTCCCCCCCCTAGTGTTTTTGTCTATACCATAATGACACTGTCCATGAGAACCACTTGTCTAGGACAATCACCTGTACAAACAACCACTAATTCATCCCTTCCCCCCCTCCCTCTAGTGTTTTTGTCTATATCATAATATGAAACTGCCCAAGAGGACCACCTGTACAAAAACACCACTCGTCTCCTCGACAATGGGTGGTTATCTTGGACAGTTTTTACTGTATAATAAAAATAAAAATAACAACAACAATAATAATAACAATAAAAATAATAATAATAATAATAGTAATAACAATAATAATAGTAATAACAATAATAATAATAATAATAATAATAATAATAATAATAATAATAATAATAATAATAATAATAGATAGCATTTGTAGAGCACATATCCCAGCTCAAAAGCAAGCTCTTTGCACTTTTCAATACATATCTAAATTATTACCCCAGCAGATCTGATAGCATTCTGAAACAATCTCAACTTCCTGGGAAGCATATAGTGCTAACTGCAACTTTCTTGACCCTAAAACACTAATTAACTGACAAGATGTTTCCTTGTCTATGGCCGGGTACCCATTCCCACCTGGGTGAAGTGAGGAAAGTTTATATATAACAAATTAAAATGTAGAAATGTCGGTCCCATGTACCCAGCACCAGTGTAGTTGAGGGGGTGAGATGCAAAACCCACTAAGCGACATTTCAGAAAAAATTGAGATTTTATGCTTATAAATTAAATGCACATTGTTACCAGCTGGCTATCAGATGCACAAAGTGGTTTCCGCCAAAACCCAACACATACTTACTTTATAATAGCCACCAAAAAATCTTCTTTGTACGCATGTTCGTGCACATATAGCAGCATTTAATTTTAAAAGCGGATTTTCTCAAAAGTGCTAAAATGGATGTAGTGGGTTTTGCATCTCAGCCCCTGGCAGTTGTTATTGTTAGTATCGTGGTGAGAATAGAACAAACAAAAACCAGCACACTCAGTGTGAGAATCTCGTTAGAGTCACACGAAACGACAGATGTAAAACACAGAAAGCACACAATAGAGGAGGGACTCAGTGCTGCAGTAGACATGGAAAAGCAGATTCTCATTCAAAGCTGACATAAACTATCCACCTCTTGGTGTATTTCAATAAATTCAAACAAAGGGGAAAAAAAAAAAGAAAAGTTTTCTCATGGGCCTCGGAGCAAAACGTTATCTCCAATATGTGCAGGAGAAAGTTTTAAAAGTTTCATGGGCTAGTTTGGTTTTTTTTCGTCAAAGAATGATTAGCATAACCTGAAAACAAGCACGTTGTTTATGTGACAGCTCATCTATAATTGTCAGAAATAGTTTTGAACTATGAGGAAACTCTAGCGATTGTTTTTTTACTAATCAGCATTTTAATTTTTTATAAAAGCAGAGAGAACTTGAGACAGGTCATTTATTAATTACAAGTATTGATTAAACCCAAATAGAACATATTTGCTCTCTTTTCAGACTGATATGTTTGAATATTAATGTGAACAATCATCCATAATATTTTGAGCTACGAGTAAAAGTGCAGGGATATTTTCTCTTTTTTTTTTAAGTTACGGTTTCGAATTTCTTTTAAACAGAAAGAACTACCAGTTGGTTTTCTCTTGATTACAAATATTGATGAAAATGAAAGATATAAATACAATGTATTTTTGCAAGTGTCTTGTGATTTTTCACATTTACACCGACTACAAAACGGCAAGAGCTTGAAGTGGTTTGATCCAAGGCCACATGAGACAATTTTTTTAAACTAAAAAATTAATAAAACACACATCTCTGCTTCTTGCGTGCATTGCTCCTGCTGGTGCGCCTGTTCCTCTCCGACACCACCGTGTTTGGGGTCCCGGAGCGATCCTCCAGTGATGGGACTGAAGATAGAAGGTAAACAAGACTCCATACCGATCCCGCTCATCAATTATTCACTCGCTAGCCGCGTGCTGGAAGGGACTTTTGGTACTGCAAGCATTGAAACTCACTACTATAAATAAATCCCCTGAAGGCTGATACTATCTAGAGGGACTCTTTAATTTCAAGCTTGAGCAGTTCTTTTTATATTTACTCAGTTCCAGTTCTTTTTAGATCCACCTACACATCCATATACTATATATGTCTCTCTCTGTCTCCCTCCCTCTCTCTTTCTCTCTCTCCCTCTTTTTCTATCTCTCTCCCTCTTTTCTCTCTCTCTCTCTCTCTCTCTCTCTCTCTCTCTCTCTCTCTCTCTCTCTTTCTCTCTCTCTCTCTCTCTCTCCCTCTTTCTCTCTCTCCCCCTCTCTGCCTGTCTCTCTGTCAGTCTGTCAGTCCATTCTCTCCCCCTCCCCTCCCCCCTAAACTATCATATCAGTCGACCAAAATGACAAACTTCAAGCTGTCAAGAAAACCTTTTTCTAAGAAATAAGCATTCACTTCACATAAACAAGATAAATTTCACATACACAAAACGTAAAGAGCATCTATATTCCTCATACCACTCAAAAGTATAAACAATTTTTTTTTATACCTACACTCTTTAAATCAATAAACAATACTGTAGGCCTATAAATTATGGCACTTTCATGGAAACAGTTTGTTCATTTCAGAAACTGTTGTGTCAGGAATCTTCTAGTCCACTAGTTATGTAGGCCCTATTGCTTTCCTTTATCTCACATAGTACAAAGGTACAGATTTATGGGGAATACAGTTGTTGGAAGATAGTTCTGTGGAATTATTTTTTTTTTCAAATAAGAAAAAAGATGCAGTTTTTCTGTAAAAATTATTTTAAATCAACACCTTATACTGTAGCATGTTAATCATTCGTTAAATATTTCTTTTCCTTGAGCCAAGATGCTTGAACTGTAGGAAAACTCACATTGTACAAGTTTGAAAGTTTCCCTGACGTACAACTTAAACCTAACAGAATGTCACCAAGTCCAACTATAAATATTTACTGCATGGTTTGGCACAAGCTGTCGCTCTCACTTATATTGTAGGCCTTTAAGAAGGAAACTCAGACAATTTATTAAAATTAAAATACAACACGCAATATTTTGGTGCAACATTGTTATTTTTTGCATTACTTTGATTTTTTTTTCAGATTCTATACAGCTGAGTTCTGTTTTAATCAAAATATTTGGTGGAGTATACATGTTTTTTTCATCAGCATCAGAAACACCAACAGTTAAGCAATAATATATACATAATATGTGAAAGAAAACAATATTCATGTCCACAACACAACATCGATGGCATGCAAAAAGAAGACAAAAGCATTCAAAGCAAAAACAAACTCATTAAGTAAAATAGCTATGCTCAATTTTCTAGAAACAAAGCTGACTATCCTACGCTACATACTTTCTCATAAAGCTTTTTTTCATAATGAATTATCTTTCCCAATGTTGCATAAAGCTTAATATATTGTAATGAATCTATCGTTTCCAACATTTCAATTGAAGTCTCTTCGAATGTATATAATTTTCTTTACTGAAATAATGTACATGAAAATCATTTTTTTTTCAAACTGTGCTCATACAATTTAACTCTAAGTATTTTAAATACTGGAGACAAAGCGCTCTCACATATGTATATGAGCCTCTTACTGGAGACATATTATGTAATTGTCCACTGATAGGTAGCAATACTTAAATATTTTACCAACGCTCCTCTTACAAAATCAATGAGATATGTTTCAAGATCACTATATATATGTATATCTACAAGAACAAATTTTTTTTTTAATGGAATGTGAACATATGAATCTTTGGATCTCATATCCATGTTTCCAAAATATTCCAAATATGAAATTCACAGAACCGTGAAGATCCCAAAAAAATTAAGAACAGCTTCCAAGCGCTCAAGAAAAAGTACTCGAGAAATAGAAATTACACCACAAATGCAGATGACAAACACGATAATATTTAAATATTTAAAACACATTTAACATTGATCAATACCCAGTCCATACCAAGACGAGTTAAGCTAACCAAGACACCAGGCAGTCAGATCTAAATTAAAAAAGGAAACAAAAAAACAAAACAAAAAATAAGCAAAACTAAGCCACAAGCACTGATCTCAACAGCAAAGCGAGACCAAAAAAAAAGCAGTACTCTAATTTATCATCAAGTCCTCTTACCTTTGCCTGCGTTGGGAGGTCGGAGGTTGCTGTTGTTGGAAATTTTTCTCCTCGGCCTCGTTCGGGGGTTCTGCACTTCCGACGTCTTTCTAGCCTGACTCCGCGATTTCTGTAAATGGCAGAAAATGTTTGAATGGAATTGACATTGTAATGTTTTACACCCTAGCGGGCACAATATTGATAGTTTAGGAGGCAGCTGTATGGGACAAAACATCCCAACAGACAGATGCTGGTTCTTCATTTTTTTAAAAACTTTTCCCCCTTCAGAAAAGGAACTCATATGTCGTCTGAGTACAACAGCAAAGAGCCTGACCAGTACACCATAAATACTGGTGTAAAAAGGTGATACACTGTGTCATATACGGAGAAGAAAATAATCAGAATAATGTGAAGGATACTTGAATAATAACCAAAAATAGTGTTGATATGCTAAATTGCATGCCCAACTGAATCATTTAAATTAGGAAGGAAAATAAGAGCGGCCAAATACAAGGTGAAATGTATCCATCATGACTTTGATCCTGTTAACTAGGCTTGTAGCATAAATATCTAGGATCTATTGGACGAAACAAGTGTGGTAAACAAAATAACCTGCTTGATTAACATAAATTTATATATTTACATTTTAACTAAATTATTTGAATTACTTGAATGAGTACTATGTGGCGTCGGTGGCCTAGTGGTTAGGCTCTCGGACTCGCAACCGTAAGGTCGTGGGTTCGAATCCCATCATGGGCCCGACCTTGTGTCCTTGGAAAAGGCACTTTACACGAATTGTTAGTGTTTGAGCGCTTAATCGGCTGCTTGCAGTGTATGCTTCCCGGGAAGCTGAGAATGTTTCGGAGTGTTCAATGGTCTGCTGGGGTAATAATATAGTGTAAAGCGCATAGAGCCTGCTGCTGAGCGGGGATATGCGCTATACAAATGCTATCTATTATTATTATTATTATTATTATTATTATTATTATTATTACTAGATATCTAGCTCGGAAAACAGAAACAAAAAAACAGACCTAATGACAGCTCGCTACCTCAGAATTACAAAGTTCTAGCAGCTAGTGGCATCAGTGGCCTAGTGGTTAGGCTACCGGACTCGTAATCGTGAGATTGCAGGTTCGGGGGTTCGAGCCTCAGCTCGGTCCAACATCGTGTCCTTGGGAAAGACACTTTACACGAACTTCCCACTTGGCTCGGTCCTATGGGAGACGGACGTTAAACTAGGAGGTCCCACTTCTTAAATAACCTAATAGTGTTGATAGGGGCGTTAAACTCATACCATTTTCAGCTCAGTACCTAGCTTTGAGAAATGTGACATTAAAAAAATTTTCAGTTTCACAATAGTATTATTTCAAGCTTTTTCGAATGCAATTCTTTGAGTACCTTGATAAAGACTTACAAATAGTCTTATGATTTTGATAGAACAGATAGAACATTGGATTTTTAACCTCATGGTCTTAATAATTCAAAACGGCCAAAAATGAGATAGAACTTTTGTACTTTTAAGGTAGCGAGGTGACAGGTGAAGCTTTGTCAGAAGGGGGGACAAAAAATGGTCAGCTACGAACCTCGAGATAACTCCCGGTATTGCCGTTGTTCCCCGTGTAGCGGACATTCCTCCGCCTCGCCTCCTCGTGCTCTTGGATCTTCTTGCTGCCAATACCCCCAATCGTCCTCAAAGGGGGCAAACTCTGGTCAGTGAGCAGACTCACTCTCTCCGCCGCGTCGTCTGCACCTCCAAACCCGTGCAAGGGCCCCAGCAGTCCGCCCTCGCCCATGTTACGGTTGTGCTGGGCCAGTCGGCTCGGCGTCAAAACGCTCCCAAAGTCATCAAAGTCATTGTCGTCGATCTGCGGCTGGGGTCGGTAGAGAGGTCGAGCGCCGAACCGGCTCTCCGCGGCGCTGGTGTTGGCCTGGCTGCGTTTTTTGGCCGCGAGGGCGGCGATGTTGCGAGTGTTTGTGGTGATGACCGTTCGGTCTTCGTAGGAGATTCTCGAGGGCGCGAGGGGCGTCGGGCTTTTTTCCACAATGTCAAGGTCAGTCTTCCAGTGTTTGTTCAGTTCCTCTGACCTCTGAATCTGTTTGGCTTTGGCACTCCGCGTGAAAACTTTATTGCTGTCATCCTCGCCATCCCTGAAAAGTTTTAAAATCGTAAAGTGATTCAGACTTTATACTTTATACAAAAATTACATGTCTTTTAAGGACATACAAACCCTTTCATGAAAGCACTTATAAAATGTATTATTGGTGCCAAAAAGCTAATATCAATCTAGGTGCAAAAAGTTTATAAAGAAGTTGACAGGAAAAAAATCTCTTTTAAAATTATTGAAAAGTTTTTAAAAACATATTTCGGCTCATAATGCAGAAATCATTCTACCTCGCTTGAATAATACACATCTTGATAAAACATATGATAAAGTTTTTACATCCTGATATAACAAAACATTTGTGAGCCAAAGTAAAAAGCCAATACTCACTCTCCAATTTTTGGTGTAGAAGGAGCCATCAAATTGTTTGTTGAAGCAACCTGAAAATAATAAAAACTACCTTTACTCAATGAAGACATTTTTCAAAAGAACAAACATACCCATTTAATCACAGCCTTGATAATTTCTACCCAAACCAAACAATAGATATGTGGACTTGAATACTTACATTGACATTATTAATTTGACACTGAGGAAAACCATGAAGATATCATTAACTGAGAAAGTTCTTAAACGAGAAAATGGCCATTAAAGTTTGGTGACTACAATAGCTTGAGAGTCTTAGGAAACTGAACATCTACAATTTAGAGTGCCTTGCTCATGTATGTATTTACCATGCCTCAGAAAATTTCTCTTTGTGGAGACATACATTTTTAAACTGTCAAAGTATCTTATCCCATCCCATCCCATCCTACCCCATCACACCCCATCCCACCCCGCCTACACACTCCCCCACCCCACCACACTCCACCCCCACCCACCAAACCCCACCACCACCCACTGACCTAATCAAAAGAAGTAAAGGAGCTGGATGTCCTCCCCCTTCACCAGCTTGTGGTTCTGCTCCTCCTGGTACATCCTATCCCACCCACCCCACCTCACTCCACCACACCCCGCCCCACCCTACCCCACACTCTCCCCACCCCTCCCACTGACCACTGACCACTGACCACTGACCTTATCAAAAGAAGTAAAGGAGCTGATGTCCTCCCCCTTCACCAGCTTGTGGTTCTGCTCCTCCTGGTACAGCTCATACAGCTGGTTTAGCTCAGGCGGGCACACCAGCTTGTTCTCTGGAACACCATCAGCAGCATCGTGGTTATAACAATTATAATAATAACAACAATAACAGCAACAACAATAATAATATTAA